TTGTTGCCATTTGCCTGTACGGCATAGGCTCTTCTTGTCTAGCTGACCATCTCATCTGAATGCCAATAAATCACGCATCAACTCGAGGTCGCCTCTCCAACCATTTCATACCTCCCATCTTGCCGGGGTTGCCCAACCTCGCAACCCTCTAGAAAACTAGTTGATAATCATTCGCCGGAAAATTTGCAGGAGACGCGCTCATTTGAGAACAAGCATTCGCTGGCATACACACCGTGACGTCGTATTCATCGCGTGTGCGCACACTTCTATCTCCTTAGGCGAGTCACAGACATCACAGATTGATCTCAGCGGCTTGCTACTCCACTGAGTGCAATTCGATTGTCGTTGCCGATCAAATGCTTATTACTAATAACCGTCACCGCATACAAGGATTACCGAACACAATCCGCATTTTAGGCTTGAAATGTTAAAACTTTAGGTTCAATTGTATATATGTACCACCTGTCTACAGGTGACTGTTGAGTGCCTTTAATATACCTTTATTTCGAGTGTTTTATCAAGACCACGCTCAAATTTCAATAGATCCTCTCATTATTATTCAAGCCAACTTGTCATGCGGTCTGGTAAGGGCTCTTGAACAGCCCGTTACCAACACTCAAAATAAAAGTATAATATGATAAAAATACAAGTATAATATGATAAAAATACAACTGCAACAGATATCCTATTTGTTCATGTAGCATGCAAGAGAACCGCAATGGGTTCGACTGGCCTTAAAAACTATTAGGTCTCCAACTAAGCTTCCGCACTTGATCCAGAAGTTCAAAACTTTATTTTTCAGGTCATCTAAAATATTAAATAACATTGATCAAAGTATTCTCCTGGATGAAATTCTCTCAATGCTCCGGCAGCAGATCAATTCCGCTTTTATAGAACTCATTATTCTTCGATGCAAACCGACCCGGATCTTCTTCAGTCGCTTCAGTGATTGCTTCTCGATCATTATCACGTGATCTTCCGAATCTGACTTGGTTGGCCAAGCCAGTATTGTGAAACTTTTCAAACCATTCATACGCCGTAGCTCTACCAATAATCTGGCGGCCTTTTGCACTATTGATGTTGTCAAATGCTATTTGGAAACTGTGCCCCCGTTAAAATTCGTAAAGCAGTATGTTGCGAATGACTCCCGTAACGGCTCCATTTTTGGACATGCGCAGAAATATACTAAACGATGCGCAAGAAAATTCCTCACAAAGTAGATAAAAGAAAAATTTGTTTTTGTGGGAAAATTTTCAATTCCTGGATCAAGTTCGGAAACTTAGTTGGTGACCTAATACTGAGGATCACACCTTCCTTCGAGGGTCATCGTGAACGACTCTGACACCAGAGTTGGTTGTCTTCTTGATGTGCATTTACAATACGTAAAATCCAGTCAACAACTGCTATTGCTTATTGCCTGCTTCCAAACTCATCAGATTTCAGTCAGTCAACTTTTCAAACTCTAGTGAGTACCGAAGCCTCCAATTTTTAGTCGTTGTTGCAAATCAAAACTTTTGATTCGTTGTCACAGAGTGAAACAAGATACTCCAGACATCGTTCTCCTGACTACGTCTTCGATAACGCGAATTGACCTTTCATGCTACTCACGAAGCGACCATGTTTTTGCCGCGTAGGGTACGAAGATTCGTGGAGTTGAAAATGTGGGCACAGAGTTGGATTTGCTTTAGCGAATCTTGCACTATGTCTCTGAAATTCGTGGAGCCTCTTCAAATCGCTCGCTTCCTTTTGATAACTAATTTAGTTAACACATCGTTATACGTATATTAACGCACTTTTTTAGTTCATAAATAGAGCAATCTATTTGAAAAGTACCAGTGAAGCAGAGACGATGCCCAATGAACTCAATAAAGAGGAAAAAAATTGTGCTGCGAATGAATAGGACGAATACCCAATTTATGGAGATTCCATGTTGTCAAAGCAAACACGTCATGCTGAATGGTTTTCTAATTACACAGATCACCTCAAACAGCTAACTTAAGCGTTCAGTGACACCTGTAAAATAGCACGAAAGAGGAATCAGAAAAACAGCAGCATGAATCGTTGGAGGCCATGAAATATCTAATGGCCCCTGAATCTTTGCACTCATCTTTTCAGCTCAGTGTCTTTCAGGTGTTCTGCTGTGCAGTAGAGAAGCCGGCTAGTACCTCACAACTCTAGAATTTCACGCACAGCCCATAGGAGCCTATGACCCTTTGAGAAACAAGCGATCAAATATGATGCAAAGGTCTTTAAGTAGTTTTTCTCGTCGGGCACAGATTTCTCACTAGACTTCTAGTATAGTAGTTATTTGATAGGTGAGAAATTGTAATTCCAACACAGACTTGACTTCTGCGAAAGTTTTTTTGGTGCTCCATATGAACGAAGAGAAATCACTTTTTGTCTCTGAGATGTATGGTGTGTTTTGAACTCATGTTTTCCTACCTTTTTCGCCAGACATAGTTTTTTCACTGAAGTTTTGGTAGTCATTGGATAGCCCGAAAGAAGTTGATTCTGATACTTAGTTTATTTCCAAAAAAGACCTCTTCATTGCGCTGTAGCAACGGAGGATAGAATTTTCATCTCATACTCGGAGCGCGTTTCTTGCTCGGCAAGGATCTGGGCTCGGTTTTTCACCAATTTTTTTGTAATGATAATATAATCCTTTTATAGCAGAAGCCTTGACGATAATAGAAGCTTATCTCAGTTTTGAAAGGTCCTCATAGAGTGTTGTAAGAGCAAAAAAAATATTACGATCAGCACTCAAAGTAGTTAGTCCGCTGTGCGAACTTTATAACAGGTTTATTAAGCACATGAAATATTAAAAAACCAATATCAGTAGAGCGATAGAACAAAGACCTTTTCAATCGCGTCCAACTCAAAAATTTTTCAAATATCCCTGGGACAATTAGAATTCTTTTTATCTGACCGTCAATTGCGGTGGTATGATCTTGTAATACACCCAGTAATGTGGAGTGCTGTGCAAAAAACATTTCCGTCGGCCGGGATTCGAACCCAGATCTCACTCTTTCCGGGATGTTGCACCACCGACGCTCGTTAGCGACCCGCCTTCTTCAGAGCCTGGGCGTCTGTAGTATTAGACTATTTGAATGATTCGAATGGTCTTATTCATATGCTGCCTAGGTCAAGTTAGAAGATCAAACGAAGAAAGGGCGCGAGATCTTGTGTGATGGTGACGCACCCGTCCCTCCGATTCATTTCGGGATTTTGGGCGTTTATCCAAAATGCCTCAAGAGTCTTGTGCGTGGATGTTTTTGATTCCTGGGCTAGGATTGTGACAGTCACATCAAAATCGTTTTTATTTTTTAATATTGTTATTTTTTTACTCAGGTGCTCAAATTCATACCAACCCATCTACCTAATACCCAAATGTTCCTAGATCACCTACATTGCGCGAAACCAAACAACTCGCACGTAATGGAGTCATTTGAGGTTACCTCACTCTACACAAACGTATAGAATGACTCTGCAATGCAAGCCATTTTCGAACTCTTAACTGAAAATGAACAAGAAGTAAATATGTATGGCTTCACGATTCAACAACTAATGACCCTCCTAAAACAATGTTTTAGTTGTTCAATTTTTCGGTGGTCGGGAAAATACTTTACACAACTTAGGGGGTTAGCCATGGGTCAACGTTTAGCACCTAGTCTTGCCATCGCTTATATGTATAAGATGGAAGCTCCAGTTCTCCTTAACCGCCCATTGCTCTACTGCCGGTTTATAGACGATTGCTTCATTGTCTGCTCTACACAAGAGGAAATGGATAAATGTTATGAAGTCTTGAACGGACAGTCACAGTATATAAAATTTACGCGAGAAAGTCCAAACGGGAGCTGGCTTCCATTCTTAAATATCCAAGTAAAGCTTTTGGATAGTGGCTATAGGACAAAATGGTATCGAAAACCAAGTAACAAAAACATTTTGGTCAATCACCTTTTCTCTCATCCTTTACACATAAACAAAATCGCTAATTAAAAACATGTTTCGAACGGCTAGAAATGTGTGCACAGGAGAAGAAGAAAGGAACGAAGTCATTAGACTTGGCAAGAAAAATTGTCATTTCCAACGGCTACAAAACATCTGCTACTTGGGAATATTCCAAAAGTGGAATTAGGTCTCGAAAGAACAATACTCCGCGCCTGACTAAAGTTCCTTTCAAACTGCCATTTATATCAAAAGAAATTAGTAGCGCGGTTAAAAGGTGCCTGAAAAGATGCGGTCTTCAAAGTTCCGTGGTAGTTATTGGAACCCCACCTCCCACCCTACGCCATCAGCTGATCCGCAATAGACTTTATGATCGATTGTGCAACACCAAAAACTGTATGATCTGCCCTAACGGAAAAGAGGAAGATCGTATGAGATCGGGCACAATTTATTTACTAACATGTAAGACATGCGGGGAAGAATATATAGGCGAAACGGGTAGACCATTTTTCATCCGCATAAAAGAACATTTAGATAGTAAATCTAAAATAGATAAAGCGAAACCTTTAGGTTTACATAGGGCACAAAAACACAACAACGACGATTTTGATGTGACTGTCACAATCCTAGCGCAGGAATCAAAAACATCCACGCGCAAGACTCTTGAGGCATTTTGGATAAACGCCAAAAACCCGAAATGAACCGAAAGGAAGAATGTGTCACCATCACACAAGATCTCGCGCCCTTTCTTCATTTGATCTCCTAACTTGATCAAGGCAGCATATGAATAAGACCGTCCGAATCATTCAAATAGACTGATACTACATACGCCCAGGATCTAGAAGAAGGCGATTCGCCAAAACGTTAGCCGAATTCTACGACTAATTTACCAACCTCGCGTCAGCTAATTAAGATAAGTTTTCTCGATTTTCATATAACAATTAATTATGCCGAGGTTCATAGAAAGTCGAACTTTTGAATTGTTGCAAGACCGTCGACGGTTGGCTGCTGACAGGTAACGCCTTGTAGCGCAAAAAGAGTGCTGTGCAAAATGAGCGTCGGTGGTGCAACGGCTAGCATCTGCTCCCGGAAAGAGTTAGATCTGGGTTCGAATCCTGGCCGACGGAAATGTCTTTGCACAGATCTCCACATTATTGGGTATCCCTAGGACAGTTGAGTGGTAAGCCAAAATTCGATCTCACACGGGAGTTGAAATCGCTAGTGGACTGATGGCAATGATGGAGAGATATTGAAGATTGAGTGGTGAATAAGCCGTCTTGTCGTTATACTACGTCTCTCCGGTATGAATGAATGCGGGTTCAACTGCCGTTTGCTTATCACTCAGTTCTCTGAGGTATAATAATCAAGCTTTCTAATGTTTTTACTGTCTTTTCGGAGTGTTATGATGTTCCAAATGCATCTAAGAGGACTGAAGAGAACTGAGTGGTGAGGAAAATAATTAAAATCACACGGGAATTGGACCCGGGATATGAGTGGTAGGCTGAAACGCTGGTTCAACTCCCGTGTGAGGTCAAATTTTTCCTTACCACTCGGTTCTCTAAGGTGCATTTGAACCATCACAATACTGCGAAAAAACAATGAAAACATTAGAAACAGTGAGCACTATATTTTTTCACTGTGGCTGTCAGCTTAGCTAGGTTTATAAAGCGATATTGCTAATTCGACTAAACTTGTTAGAGATTGGTGCCTGATAGGTATGATAGAGACATTGAAGAATGAAAGGGGGCGAGACGATGCCTTTGTGGTGTAGTGGAAGTGGTTCTTCTAACCTGTATTCATAATAGGTTGCTTCCTTATTCTGGCAATGAATTGTTCAACAATTTTGTATAATATTATGATACGGATTGCTATCTTCAGCTGGTTGCAGAATGCGTTTGAATAGTTTTTGACAATGCTAACCTTTTTGACGTGAAGGTGGAGGATATATTTGGATAAATTTTCACAAGAGGTCTTCCAAATGTATAGAGGCTAAAGGAGGCAACTTTGAAAGTTTCTTGTAAACATTTTTGTTTATTGTTATGACTATTGCTCTAATTAACGCAACTCCTTAAATTTAATGCATGCATTTGTTTATGCAATATTCTTTTACAGCAAAAATATATGAAAAGAATTAGGATTTTCCAAGCACTCTATATATGCACATATACGCATACATGTGCATATATATATACTTTTTTAATTATATATATATATATATATATATATATATATATATATATGCTTTATTAATCCGTCTCCATAGCGTTCTTTTCACTGTGCGGATCTTAGTAATTCTAGCCTGCAAATCGCCTCTTGTGTACAAGCAATTTTCGCACCATTTGCAGATTGAGCAGTTTAAACATTTTTGAAAAAGCTTAGAGCTGGTGAAAACGTGAGGTCGTTTGCAACACCTCATATTACCGTCTATGTACAACGAAAGAGAGTGCACAATATGCATTAAGTTGGCGAATCGGGTAGGTCACTCTGGGCCTGTATACGAAAACTGTCTGCATCTTCAAGCCAATCCATGTGCCCGATAAGGGTCGTGTAGAGCACAGATACATAATGGGAAAGCAATCGTGACCCTCGCACGAGAACATGAAAACTAAGTGCGTAAGATTCCAGAAGCGTTTTGATAAACACCACCAATACAGCATGAACCGCAGGAATGCCTCGTAATCACATGTGATACAACACAGTATATTAGAGTTGTTTTTTCGACACGGTATGTACATTCGCAGTCCATGTGATCTCTGGACGGTCGACACTATAGAACTTATGAAAGCGATGAGTACGTGGAAAATTTGTTCTGTGCTTGATGCGATTGAAGTTTAGGTGTGGTGATTTCACTCCTTATGAGTAATGTAATAAAGGTGCTCGGCTGAGTGGTTTGTGAGCAAACTGATTCTTCCAGGTTTCGAAGAAGCAGAAACCGCCAAAGCATAAAGATCGAATAAATTGTATCATAAAGCTTTTGGATTGAAAAATTGTTATTCATTGAAGATTGTTGAAGATGTATGCTCTGTAATCCTGATCTGCAATTTCTGCCCTTTATGTAAACTTTAGACGACGTTAGCTGTAAAGCTACGCTCCTTATGTAGTGAGTATAAAACAGATCGAGTTGTTGGTTTAATTTCTGCTCGATCTGAATCTTGGCCATTGTTTTCGTTGCTCATACTGTATGAGTGCATTCTATATGCATGTTCGTGTATGGCTACTAGTGTATTTTCATTACAATGATAAATGTCGTAACCAATAAGAAATTTTTATTTGTAGACAGAGATACTTGTAGAACTCCTATGTGGGTAAACTTGCTCAAACTTAACTTTCGACAACACATTCTCCCTCAGATTTCCACTGCCATTAGTGCTTCAGCCCTATGGGTCGCACTCAGAATTACGTTCTCCGTTGAACTGGTCACTGAGCACGCGACGACGAACATTGCGGATAATTGAGTCAAATAATTGTCTTTGAAAAAGAAGACGTCGAAATGTTACCTTCCAGATTAGTCTCATGGTGTCAATTTAAACATTCAAAAATATCGATTTGGTAATCTTGGGGTAGGAGCGAAGTAGTGGAGTGGTTAGTGATACAATGTGTCAGGAAAGAAGGTGATGTACAAAGCGCTTGTTCGGATTTCTCAAGACTATTCTAATGGATCAGCTGGGAAAACTTATCTGCAGGCAAAATATCAAGAAAAAAGTCTTTACCCCTATCTCACGAAATTCATAAAAAAGTCGAGAACCTCAAAGCAGTAGGAAAATTATTAGGTGAGATACTAGAATGATTTATGAATATGAGGAAACGACTAGAATGCATAAAGAACTAAGATCCGCATAGCGAGTCGTGGTAGTGGTCACACTGAAAAGGGAATGGTGGATGATTATGGTGCATCACGACTTGGCTGTGTTCGCAATAGTTCATTATGGTGCATTACGACTTAACTGTGTTTGCAATAATTGGAAAGCAATAGATTTCTTGGTCACTCACTCTCACCAATACTCTCGAATTTCCGCGACTGATGGAGCCTACTACTGTGAGAAATGCTCGACAACAAGAAGGCAATCAGTGCCCACCCCTGCGGTAAACAACTCCGAAAGCTGGACGCAACAGGACAAGAGAAGCACCCATAAGACCCAAAGTTGCTCTTTTCCATGATAACGATCGATTTCACATTGCAAAATCGATTCACCACATTTTAGAGAAACTGGGTTGGACCACGGTACCACGTCCATTGTGTAGTCCTTCAAATAGTTCTACCGGGTTATCGTCTCTTTCACTCTCTTGAGCAGCATACTGCGGGAAAGAAGTTCGAGGACCAGCTCAAAAGTGATGATAGCAATTTTCTTGGTAGACTGCCTCATTCCTTCTAGGAATTAAGCATACACTCTGCCAGCAAATAGTCGAATATATTTGACTTCTTGATTAGATGACAATTGATTAAGCAAAAGTGTCGAAAGGGATTGAGACAATGCAGTACATATTAAATCCCAGAATCACTATGAGCTACAATATTACTAAATGCTGATGTCGGTGGTAGCTTATATACAGTTAGATCGATGGGACAGTCCTTCTGTGTAGATCTTGCCGTCCACAAGCTCTTCAGTGGTTTTTAATAACAAGGAATTATCGAATTTGGTTAAAAAAAATAAGCACTGCTAATTTCGTGTGTCATTAATCTGCAAAGTTTTACAATTTGTTCCACTGTCTTGAAATTAGCGGTCCTTCCGCTAAGTCATGTAAATTGGATATTCAAGAGAAAACAATTCAGTTTTATTCTTGGGAAATCAATCGAATTTGGCAGCCACCGATGGCGGTCTTATTTGAAAGAAGAATTTGGATCTTTACAGACACCCTTGTATAGCTCCATTTCTCAAATTGCTGATAATATTCATTTGAATCAGCAGCTTACTGGTGACAATCCAGTGTAGAAAGCATAGGCCACCTGTTACAGTAGCGGGCAAGGGAAGTCGAGCCCATCACAAAATCCTATAAACTTGCTTTGAAAAGGTTAACATTTGGAACATTCAATACCATTTCTGAGTGTCGGATCGAACGATCTTTCTACTGCATGCTTAACATTTCATGAACTCAATCGTTGACGGCCCTTGTCATCTTGTTGTCGTTAAGACTATATCTGTATGATAGTCCACATCTGAAAACACACAACGCATGTCTGTCGCTCTATTGCTGAAGTACATTGTTTCCTGCTCATGTGGCAAAGATACTTATTTTCTTCTTTAGAAAGCTTGTGTGTTTGCAAAAGCTAAACAATAATTCGCACTTCTGGGAAAGTTTCTAGGTTTTCCTTCGGGCGTGAAATTGAAAAGAATCGTATGAAAGTGGCCACCTAGAAATATGAGATTAATAAATTTGATGGCGGCCAGCGAGTGCTGTTTGCTGCTTGGAATATTGGCGTTCGCTGAAGCGTTTCTCATCCACGGTCATGAAGTTTTGAATGCACTTTGTAAACCTTTTCACCTCGGATTAACGCGATGTTCACTGCCTTTCTTAAAATCAGTACAAATGTGACGCAATGCTGCCTGAACGATTTGCGCTTGCTTGTGACTCCTCATGACTACTTCTTTAACCAAGCACTGCCCGATTTCCATTTGGGGGAAAGCTTAATACAAATAAAAAAGTTTGAATAATTCCGCATATCTCTTATTCAGCAAACAAGCAGACAAGAGGTTGTCAAAAGACGACTTATTGATCACTGTATAGACTGTACAATCACTACGACAGTTTGACTAACGTTAGGGTAGTCTGCCTTCGTCATGGCCGTTTTGTTGTTACGTTGTCCACTAAATATGTAGGACCATCTGCACTGAATCTTGCGTGAGCGAGGTTTGACTGAAGTAAACACGTTCAATAGCCATTCACTAGCTCAGAACTCTTGCGAAGGACGGATTCCTTGCAGGCCAGTTTTGCAGCTTTTTAGAAGTGTCGCCGTATTTCGCAGAAACTCTCGGCTAAAACTTGAGATGAAAAACCGTAAACAGATTTGCGCCAGTTTGACTATGAAAGTTACATAATCAGAAATAGTGATAATTCTCGATGATAGAAAGAGGTATATGGATACGTGGACATGACTCACCGAGAGCGCATACGTGTCCAAAACTAGCAA